CGATTAATCGATTAATCGGTGCAGCCCTAGAGTCGATCATCAGATATTGTCCAAGATTAACCTTCAGGGTGGATATAGCTCGCTAGCAGCCTCGCACCGAGGACCTATCCACGTCATCATTTACCCAGAATGCTTTGTGTGGAAATAAAATGGCTCCGTCCGTGTTAAAATATATTTTAAACTTTTAGTTTAAAAATTATTAAAACTAAACATCCTACAGTATTTTTACAGTCTTTATTTTACAGTTGAAATATATGTTTATCATAAAAAGTCTAATGTTGTAACTAATCGGGGATCCCTTTAAAGCAAGATTTTTTTGGAGACGTATGATGAGAGCCTTAATATAGACTAATTTAAGTTTTTCTTTACATTTTAGGATTTTTGTCCTAATCAGAATCAGGTTTATTGGCCAAGTATGATTTGTTTCCGGCAGTTCTTGACTCACTGGTATCAACACTGCACAGACACTTAACATATAATACACACACAGTACACAATATACAGAAAGATTCACATTGTACTTCACTTTACCAAAAACTATACAGACTTAATTAAATGAATATCCTTGATTTAAGTTTATAGACTAAAATGAAGACTTAAAAACAAGTAAACTAGTTTTAAAAAAAGGAAAATTATCTGGCTTGGATAAAAATAAGATTTTAAATCTTGGTAAGCACCAGCTAATTTGCAGTGCACAAAAAAAGGACGGCTTTGGTTTCTGCCTCGACAACTCAAATCAGGAGACAGATCATTCATCTGGACTTGTCAGACCACCATGGCCCAGCTCAGGGATCAATAAGCCATCTCCTCTTTAATAGACTCACTTCATGAATTGATGGAGCTGCAGCAGCGTGGGGCATGCTGCCATCTCGTGGATGGCTAATGTAGTTACAGGTTCTCACAACCCTTATGGGCTTTGAAAGAAAGAGATCGAGGATCCAAGTGGCATCACTGAACTTTATCTTCACACAGGTGCTGTTCGTTCCCAGACACTGGTGGCACTATGTGGAGTCTGTGGATCCCATCACCGTCAGCGTCAACACCTGGGCTGAGCTGGTAACTACTTCCTGTCGCATTTGTCTTCTGTCCAAAGAAAACACTGAAGTGATGCTCTCCATATTTACTGTTATAGTGACACTGAAGACAAAGCTGCACATCAGTACTCTGAAGAAATTCTTTGATTGATCCTAACAGTGATTCGTGCTTAAAGCCCCTCTTATAGTTGAATAATGAGCAGGCCTTGTGGAATAAGATTCCCTGTCAGTGTGATGAGTGTGTTCACAACACAGAGAGTGTGCTGCATGAATTAAAGCCTCCCGCTGCCAGACGAATGTTTACTCCAAGGTTTCCTCTCCAACTTTCCGTACAAGGTCGCAGACTTAACAACCTTGTCTGCATAAAGATTACAGCGTTATCATTTAGTGTCGTTATAAAGATGATGGCAAACATCGTTCTCTGTTGTTGCMCAGGAAGAGGATGACGTGGCAAGAGTCACAGAAGCTGTGACCAGGACGGTCGTCTGTGCTTTAAAAAGTGCTCCGAGTGATGACAACACCGACAACTGGCTCAATCCCACTGAGGTAATAAATAATAACTGCTCTCTGATGTCATTTATATCGGCATATTTGTAGTTTTCTTCCACCTTGTGTCCCTTTATGAAATAAAAAAATGTAGTTGATTACTCCAACGTTAACCGTTCCTTCTGGAAATTAAAACTGTTACACCAAAGAGGTTGAGGATCCCAGATGGTCTGCCAAAGGCTCTTTCATCTGGATTAGATCGAGGCTGTCAGTCTGCCTCTTGTGGTGTTTCCAGACTTTTCATTGTCTGCACAGAGTTCATGAGGAGGTTGGGGGTCTAGAATGTCCTGTTCTGAGTTGTCATCTGGTTCCAGGGTCACAGTAAACTGCAGAGTGGATAATCAAACTGAAGGGAGCTCTTTCTCTCTTTTTTTTATCACTTCAGTAGAAAAAAGAACTTAATATTAG